GGTGACATGGTGCAATGAAAACAACCTCTCTCTCAACATCGGAAAAACTAAAGAACTGATCATTGACTTCAGAAAGAAAGAAGGACAACTAGCCACCACCACCCCCATCCATCTACATCAATGGAACTGAGGTTGAGGGTGGAGAGCGCCAAGTTCCTCGGATTGATGATAACCAACAACCTGTCCTACGAGGTTCCCACGTAGATGCAACAGTCATGAAGGCACAACAATGCCTCTTCTTCCTCAGGCGGCTCAGGAAATTTGGCATGTCTATAAGGAGCCTCACCAACTTCTACAGATGCACCATTGAATGCATACTGACCAGGTGCATAACAGCCTGGTATGGCAACTGCTCTGCCCAGGACCGTAAGAAACTACAGCAAGTTGGTGTGCACAGCCCAGACCATCATAGAAGCCAATCTTCCGTCTATGGACTCCATTTACACGACATACTGCCATGGAAAGGCTCCCAACATCATCAATGACACATTGCACCCCAAAAATGATCTCCTACAACCTCTTCCATTAGGCAGAAGATACAGAAGCCTGAATACACGCTCTAGCAGGTTTAGAGACAGCTTCTTACCGGCTGTTATTAGACTGATGAATGGACTCTAGCCTCAAATAATGATTGATCTTGCTAACATGATCTCACCTAACACATGCCCTGTGCAATGTAACGTGTGCCTCTGTCTAAGTCATTTTGATCTGTACATCCTTGCTTACTATGATCTTTCTGTACTGCACATAAAGCTTTTAACTGTACTTTGGTACACTTGACAATAAAATCAATCAAGCAAGCTGAGTGGCTAAAAGGACCTAAAATGTCATGCAAAATATCATGGGTCATAACTATGCAAGGGAAACATAACTTTCTACGATTTAAAGTATAAGTTGTCCTCAAAAGTAAAGCACTGTTGAGAGGGGAGAAATTTATAACTTGTTGCAAAAAGTTTTAAAATATAGGAACATAGAAAATAGGAGGATTAGGCCATTTGGCACTTTAAGTTTGTTCTGCCATTATGATCAAGGCTGATCAGCCAACTCAATAGCCTGCTCCTGTTTCTCCCCCATATTCTTTGATTCCTTTAGCCATGAGCGCTATATCCAACTCCTTCTTGAAATCATACAACTGCTTCCCGTTTATAGTGAATGCCACAGGCTCACCACTCTTCGGAAGAAGAAATTCCTTATCTCAGTCCAAAATGGTTTACCCCTTATCCTCAGACTGTGGAATCCCTGTTCTGGATTCCCCTGCCATCGGGAACATCCTTCCGGCATGAAATCCTACAGTATTCTTTCAGCTAGTGGCTGGAAGCTTGCATTTTTAAAAGAGATCAGTCTCTATGAGATTGTAACACTTAGTATATGTTTAGCCCTTAAGTAAGGACATTTCTGACTTTTGTTTTAGTTCTCTCGTGGTACATGGGCATTCCTGGTTGGCCAGCATTTATTGCCCACCCCAATTGCCCTTGTGAAGATGGTAGTGAGCTGCCTTCTTGAACTGTTGGAGTCCATGTACTGTAGGTAAAGCCAAATGCCTTTAGGGATGGAATTCCAGGATATTTACCCAGCGACACTGAAGAAATGGCGACATATTTCCAAGTCAGGATGGTCCGTGGCTTGGAGGGGACCTTGCAGGTCATGGTGTTCCTATGTATCTGCTGCCTTTGCCCTTCTAGATAGAAACTGTCAGGGGTTGGGACGGCGCAGACCGATGATCTTGGGATGAATTTCTGCAGTACGTTTTGCAGGTAGTATACACTGCTGTTACTAAGCATTTGCGGTGGAGAGTAGATGCTTGTGGATGTGGTGCCCAGTAAGCAAGCTGCTTTCTCCTGGATGGTGTCATGCCTCAAGTGTTGTTGGAGCTACACTCATCCAGGCAATTTGAGAGTATTCCATCACACTCCTGACTTACGCATTGTAGACGGTGCACAGAATTTAGGGAGTCAGGAGGTGAATTACTTGCTGCAGTATACCTAGCTCTGACCTGCTTTTGTAGTCACTGTATTTATATTGAGTCCAGTTAAATTTCTGAAGAATAATAAACCCCGAGATGTTGATAATAGGGGATTCAATGATTGCAATGCCATTGAAATTCAAGGGATTAGACTGTTTCTGGAGATGATGATCGCCTGGCATTTGTGTGGCACGAATGTTACTTGCCACTTGTCAGCCCAAGTCTGGATATTTTTCAGATCTTGTTGCATTTGAACACAGACTACTTTAGTATCTGATGAGTCAGGAATGGTGCTGAATATTGTGCAAATAATCCCACTCCTGGAGGTCATTGATAAATCAACTAAAGATGGTTACCTTGAGGATCTTCTGCAGTGATGCCCTTAAGTTGAGATGACTGACCTCTAACAACTACAATCATCTTCCTAAGTGCCAGATATGACTCTAACCAGCAGAGAGTTTGCCCTGATTCCCATTGATTCCAATTTAGCTAAGGTTCCTTGATGTCAAGGTCTGTCATTGTTATCTCACCTCCAAAATTCAGCCCATTTTTCCATGCTTGGACCAAGGCTGTAATGAGGCCAGAAACTGAATGACCCTGGTGCAACCCAAATTGGGCATCAGTGATCAGATCGTTAGTAAGCAGATGCTGCTTGAAAGGATTGTTGATAAACCCTCCATCACTTTATTTATGATTGAGAGTAGACTGAGGGAGCGGTAAATGGCTGGATTGGATTTGTCCTGTTTTTTGTGTACAGGACATACCTGGACAATTTTCCATACTGTAAGATAGATGTCAGTGCTGTGGCTGTACTGGAAGTGTGGCTTGGGGTGTGGCAACTTTTGGAGCCCAAGTCTTCAGTACTAAAGCCAGAATGTTGTCAGAACCCATAGCCTTTGCAGTAAACAGTGCCTCCAACTATTTCTTGGTATGTGGTGTTAATCAAATTGACTGAAAACTGGCACCTGTGAAGCTGGGGACCACTGGAGATGGCAAAGATGGATCATCCACCTGGCACTTCTGCCTGAAGATTGTGCTGGACTACAATTCTGCTGCTTTTGCTACATCTGTTTGAAATGTGTCCCATTTAGTTTGGGACTGGGCAGAAGGGTGAGGTGGAATGTGTTGTTACAGAGTTATGTGCACATAGAGTGAGGGTTAGAGGGGCTTAATACTTTTATTATAATGAGGATGTAAACCCAGAGTGCGGAGGCAGGCATTTGAGATAGCCGGACTTGGCATTTGGCATCACCTATGCAGTTTCCTGTTGAAATCATTGAATGTTTCTGCTTCTACCACCCATGTGTGCAGCGTGCTCCAAGTCCATACCACTTGCTATGTGAAAAAAGTTTTTTCTTATGCTCCTGCTATATCTTTGCCCAAAATCTTAAATTTATGTCCCATAATTCTTACAATTAGCTGATGGAAAGACGTTTCCTTGCTCACCTTATCTAACCAGAGCTAGACAGAGGTAGTGATCAAGTTGACAATCAAGTTGAACTGAAACTGACATTTCCAAACACCCCTCTTATAATTCCACACCAATGCATCCGAAATGCTAAATTTGTACAAAAAGAAAAGAAACAAAGTTTGTTTTAAATGGTGAACTTTGGGACTAAATCAAATTATGTTTTTGAAATCGCTGATCTTGAAATTCCTTGAAAGGCAATAACAGCTTTCATTTGTTATTCTTCAAAATTTTTGAAAACTATTGTATAAACCTCTAATGTTGTGTTTTCTCATCCTGAAACTATGATATAATGTCACAACCTCCAGGAGTTTCAAAAATCCAACACAACCAACAGAGTTTGATTATTGTCTATGGGCTCACCTTGTTTTAGACATGACAGTATGTGGTTGAATAAGATGGCTAAGAAATGAAAGAGAGAAGCAAGAAGAGACGGCCTGAAGCAAAGGCAGATGGTGAAACAGTAACAAAGAATAAGACAATTTTGGTTTGACTAATTCATTTTTGTCTCATCTTTCCTCTGGTCACTGTGCTGACCCACTTCTAGTTCCATCCCTGCTCTTTTACTGTCAATTTTTGCAAGGTATCAAAAAGAAGAGCCTGGATAACTAATCCTGCAACGTTTTCTTCATTGTACTGTTACCTTCCCTTTGAGGCACAGTTATGATTCAAGGCACACAGCAAAGTTGACAGTGCAATTGTGAACGCATAAGCTGCAGTTTAAAAGGCAGCTCAGGTTACAAATTTTCCACTTGTTGGGATTGAGATTATTTTCAATTGTAGGTATACAGTTCTGCAAAATTAAGTGCTAACTGTGTACTGCTATGTATTTAATCAGTCAGAATTCCACAACCTTAGTTATCTCTGTTTTGCACAAATTAACTAAAAGAAAATGCAAGTCTGGCTGAATCCTATGAAGCCAGAGATGATACCCGCTGTGGTTCCCAAGTGTGTCAGGACAATGACCAATCTGCAAGAATAACAGAGTCCCTAAACATGCATTTCATGTGTTCCAGAAATTATCCAGTTGTTTGTCTGATTTCTCTTTTTTATCGTCGATTGCATCTCACCCTCTCAAATTATCATACTAGCAAGTCAATGTGTTTTAATTATACGGTGCACAGATTTGCTAGCATATGTTTTCTAAATTAAAATTTTTCAAACATATTTAAATGACACATATTGCAAACATTTATTATAACACAGTCATTTTCAATTATTGTTCTTAACATGTATGGAAAAAATAAAAAAGATGAACACTGAATTCCTCGCTTATTACACCATTAAAAGAAAATACTGTTTGTGCAAGTAGTGACTAAGGAGCACATGTACCTGTACATCAATTGTTGCACAAGTAATCAGTTCATGTCTGCTTTGTAGAGTCATTGTATAAAGGACAATAGACCACTTTCATCATGTTATTATTGTCTCAAAAACTCTCAATATATTTACTGATGTTAGATTTACAATGTGCCTGAAAACAATCTTGATGAATTAACAGAAAAAAAACCTGTTTAAAAATACGGTATATAGCTGAGTATAATCTAATAAGATTTTGTCTGATTTCAGAGGGGATTTGGTAACATTGATGGAGAACACTGGCTTGGACTGGAGAACATTTACAGACTAACTGCACAGGGAAACTACAAGTTACATATTAAATTGGAAGACTGGAATGACAAGAAAGTCTATGCCGAGTACAATGCCTTTAGAATAGAGGATGAAGACGATAATTACAGACTACGAGTTGGAAGCTATCAAGGGAATGCAGGAGACTCTTTAATATGGCACAATGGCAAGCAGTTTACAACACTTGACAGAGACAGAGATTCATACTCAGGTACAATTCTGAAGTACTATTTGAACAATTGTGTATGGAGTGCATATTTAACAATGTAAATATGAAGCATAAATTGATGGTAAAGTTACTTGTGGCACAATGCAAAAGAGCTAAATTAGTAGTGATAGAAATTTCTATTAATTTTCACTCCTTACATTACATAGATATATCTAATTGAAACAGTTTTCACAGTATATAAAGTACTGTGGGATCAGGTACTTTCATATTGGAGTGCTGATGTCAGAGCTTTGGCAGCAACAGAGAAAGAGAGGGTAGATAGCTAACATTAAGGGAACTCTGAAAAACCGCTTGGAGGTGGTTATCTGCTCTTTTAGCAGCAGTCATACTGCCTTGCTTAAATTCCATTGCTGCTCCCTAAGTCAAGGTTAACACAGTGAAGGTGTTGCAATGTGAAACAAGTACATGAGATGCCTATGCAACAATATAATTATTACAAACATTTGTGAACCCCGGACGCAAATGCAGTTCAATAGTCTAATCTTGTCAATGCAGAACTTTCAATGGTGAGACTTAAGACTGAAGTGAACAATTGGTGTATCTATATTTTGAAAAAAATGGAATCAGCCTTAAAAAATGCATGTAGCTATAAGATAAAAGTTGCACTTAAAAATGTTTACAAAAACACATACAATTAGCTATGATTTAAATGATCAGGATCACATGGTCATTATGTAAAAATAAATAATACTGGATCCAAACTTGACTTGGTAACGGGAAACAAAGGTTAATGGTTGATGACTGGCTTTGCGACTGGATAGCTGTTTCAAATGGTGTTCCACAGAGCTTGGTGTTGGAACCCCTGCTGTTTGTTTGAAACATTAACAATTTGGACTTGAATGCGGCAGGGCACAATTGGGAGATGTGCAGACAATGCAAAAATTGGCCTTCTGGTGGATAATGTAGAGGATAGCTGTAAGTGCCAAAATGACATAGATGGGTTGGTGGAGTAGGCAGGCAAGCAGCAGGAGGTGTTCAACTCTGATAAGTGTAAGATAATGCATTTAGGGAGGACAAACGGTATAAGGGAATACACAATAAATGTGAATATATTGAGAGGAATAGACAAAATGAGGGATCTTGGTGTGCAAGTGCACAAGTCCCAAAATGTAGCAGTACAGGTAGATATAGTTGTAAAGAAGGCATATGGAATGCTCTCCTCCACTGGCAGAGGTACAGAATACAAAAGTAGGGATAGAATGACGAAACTGTATAAGACACTGGTGAGGCCACAACTAGAGTACTGTGTGCAGTTCTGGTCACCACATTACAGGAAGGACATAACTGCTCTGGAAAGAGTGCAGAGAAGATTTACTAGAATGTTGCCAGGGCTGGGGAATTATAACTATGAGACTGGAGAGGTTGAGGTTGTTTTCTTTGGAGCAGAAAAGGCTGAGGGGTGACACATGATCGAGGTATACAAAATTGTGAGGGATAGAGATAGATTAGACAGGAAGAACCTCCTTCCGTTCACGAACAGTTCAAAAACCAGTGGTCAGAGATTCAAGCTAATTGGCAGAAGCATTAGAGGGGGGATGAGGAAAAAACCTTCATACACAGAATGTAGTGGGTGTCTGGAATTTGTTGCCGGAGTTGGTACTAGTAGCAGAGACTCTAAACCTTAAGCGCTGTAAGCTGGAGGGCTTTGGGCCATGTGCAGGAAGACGAAATTAGAAAGGGCACCTGGGTGCCTTTATGTTAGAATGGATAAAATGGGCCAAACTGCCCTTTTCTATGCTGTATCATTCCTATGGTTCTATTGTTCTAAAGCAAACATAATTTGCTACCAAGCACAGCTAATACTCTCAGCATGTTTTGCTAAAATGGTTAATAGACAAACCATTGGCGTCTAATGACAACATGCATGCATTTGAAAGCCAAATGTGCAATTTAGAGCTCAGTGTATATGGAAAAACAGCATGTTCCATCAGGAGAATTTGTGGCTTCAGCATGTTTTGTGGAGAAATCAGTCTGGAAAAGAAATCAAAAGCATTTTTATTTAAGTGCTTATGACAATGTATAAGTTTTCACAATTTTCTAAAATGTTTGTGTGTATTTGGAGTGAATCGTGAAAACAGATGATGAAAAATGGTTAGATCAGCTTTGTTGACATAAGTTATAGTTTATACACACCTCCTATTGCTGAACAGGACAATATTCATATTCACACATGTGGGAATTAGTCCAAATTATCAAACTATGCTTTTTACTGAGATTGAAGGCCTGGAATTTGATGATAGCCTAAATAATAACAATAGCAAAAGTAAATGAAAAGTTAATCACTCAAAGCAACATTGTAAATTTTAAGTAAAAGAACAGAATAGCCAATATTTTGATGCAGCATGCTGAACATCCAGAAACCAGTGTATTTGAGGCCACAACCCTGGCTCAGCATTAGTATCAGAGATATTATGGTGCTTGTGCACACTTTCCATTACTGAGTTCAAAAGTTGTAAATGCTGATTTTTCAGAATAACTTTTCTTTAAAATTTGGGATCCTTCAGCAAATTATTTATCCTAGATCTCCCATGAAATTTTTTTAAAAATGCAGCTTTCAATATTTTAGCTCTCTTTTAACGCTGAATCCCATCTCCTATGTCTTTTGAGTGTGTCCATTTGGCCTTGATTCTGACTTTAGCTTTTATAATACAACCAGTCTAATGAACAGAACTGTCCTTCTGGGGATATTCATGTCTCATTAAAATCCAACTCTGTGTACTCAGCTATTATTTTATACCTGTAGTTCTTTCCACTTTTGTAATTCCTCTGACTTCTGAAGCCAGCTACTGTACTACACTTTGCAGTTCTGTTCAATTAGCTTGACTGAATTTCATTCAGTACAATTTTCTTTGCTTATTCTATTTAATGGTTATGTTCAAATACAAAATAACTACAGGGTCTGTTGGATTTTAAAAACTATCATATAAATTCAAAAATAACCAGCCATCATATTGTAAATGAACAATGTAACATGTATATGTTTGAACTAAGAAGAGTAGAACCTCAAATGTCTATAATTTTGAAAACAAACTACTACTCTTGGTTAAATTTTGATCTGGTAGGGCTTCCATTTCATTTCACATGAAGAATCAATATCAATTATTGCTGCAGGAGGGTTAGAGGATAACGAACAATTGAACCAGTAAACACAGACAGGTTCCTGTTTTAAAGTTATATACTCAATTCTTAGTTTTGTATAATGCAGAATTTTTTTTATTTGTATAATACTGAAATTATTATTATTGTGTATTCGAAAAGTTAACTTAAACCAAAGGATGTCATCCCTCTTGAGTGAGTGTACAAAATCTTATGGAATTCAAACAGACCTCCCTGATGCCCTGTTTAATTCATCAATCAAAACTCAAATGGATTATCTATTTATTTTCATATTGATATTGATGGGACCATCCTGTGGGAAAATTGGCTGCATTTACCCCAACAGTGTTTACATGTCAAAAGTAATACATGCATTGTGAAGCATTTTGAGATCGCATGAGATCATGAAAGGTGTTGTATAAATGAAAATTATTTAAGTTAAAAATGTACAAACACTTGGTAAGTTGGGAGGTGCAGAATGGAGTTGTTATAATGAGCACACAGGCTCTAGAGTGATTAAAGTTAACAATAACAGTGAACAATAACAGATTTAAGTTTTTTAAAATTCATTATAGATTTTTATTGGAAAACTCTGATTTTAAATTATGGAATTGCTTCATTTTTGTCAGAGAATAATTGTGTTGCTGCACAAGATAAACAGCTCGGTGATAGAATGAAGAGTGTCATCACCGCATTCTTAAAAAACAATTTCAAGAGTTGGATCCATTATATTGAACAGCTGGGACTAAAGTCAAGCAGGAACATAATGTATATTAACTTTCTGTTCCCTCCTTAGGTAACTGTGCGCATTTCCACAAAGGTGGGTGGTGGTACAATGCTTGTGCACATTCTAATTTGAATGGAGTTTGGTACCGAGGAGGTCATTATCGCAGCAAGTACCAAGATGGAGTTTACTGGGCTGAATTTCGAGGGGGCTCCTATTCTCTGAAAAGTACGGTAATGATGATCAAGCCTGAATAACGTTCAAGAAGAAATCGCATGTTCCCAATGGGTACAACTACGAAAACATAGACTCAAAATGTAGGGTTCTTTCAAAAGCAGAACATGTGCTTTGTTAAAGAAGCAACTTGTTTAGCAACATTGAAAAATCACTTAATATTGCTCCTACATATATGGTTTCATTACCTTTTAAAATGCTAGAGGAGAAAGCAAGGATCCACATGACATTATTATGTGCATCTGTACTCAATGCTCACTAGCACTACGTTGAACAACTAGCACCCTAAAGGAAATACTGCCCTTCTCATAAAGGAAGGCATTAGGTATATCCTATGATTTTAACCAGATTATACTATAACCCAACAAAATCAGTTATGACTAATATTTGGATGTATACTAATGTATTTTATTATAACAGACAACTTTTTGTTTAATAATCTGCTGTTGGACATATCAGCTTTATTATGGATATTTGGAGAATCCATAACACTTCATTTTAACACTGATATTAAGCAGTTAGGTTGAAATAAATACTTTAAGTCTTTCATGAATCAGAGTTTAACTTTAATAGAAAAAGAATCCAGAAGTTCCCAGATTACAAGGAAAAGTCTAAGTCGCATGATCAAAAGAGCCTTCATATTCTCCCTAAAACTAACATCTTAAAGCAAGACTAAGTTTAAATAATTGTTCGATCTGAACAGTTATTCCTAATACCAAAACATGCAGTTTTTAGCAAGGAACACCACATTGCCTCTAAAAGAGCAACAAGTCTGCACTAACATAAGTCACATTCTGATAGCAACAAAAGTGTTGGTTTAAAATACGAAAACCATCTACTCCAAGACTGTGTGCTTCTGCTGTGAAAGTACATCTATACAGGTCAGAAACGTCTGGTAGAAAAATGCTGGTGTAACTCTCATGAAGTGTAAATCTGGAGTAAACATGGCCCCAAACATATTTTTGTCAAATGCTTTAAATCCTGATCAAAAAAGCAACTTTCAATTTAAAAAAAGTAAAATTCATCCTTAAATCTCCTTTCCTTAAAAAGGTTATCATATTATGCATGCACAAAGTAATGTAGATTTATGCAAATCAAGCAAGTTTCACAAAAATGTAGCTTGAATATGTATTGAAAAGATGACTGCAGCAGTGGGTTTCTTTATGAACTTGAGAACATAAAAAGAAAAACAAGAATGAAAATATTCTGAATGACCTTAATGCCTATTATTTTGTGAATGTGGCAAATGAATTCAAATTGTATCACTGTTTTTAAGAGATGTTTCTCTTCTTATTTTATGTGTTAAATTGACTTTCCATTGATTAATTAAGCTCATCTCAACAGGTATAAAGTTAAAAGTTGCATTCTGGTTTTATCTTCGGTATGCTGTCACATATCCTTTATTCATTCACGGAATGAGGGCTAGGGAGCATTTATTGTCTATCCCTAATTGCCCACAGGGCAGTCTAAGAGTCAACCACATTGTTGTGGGTCTGGAGTCGCATGTAGGCCAGACCAGGTAAGGAAGGCAGTTTACTTCCCTAAAGGACATTTGAGAACCAGATAGGTTTTTCCTGACAATCAACAATAGATTCATGGTCATCCTTAGATTCTTAATTCCAGATATTAATTGAATTCAAATTCCACCATCTGCTGTGGTGGGATTTGAACCCGCGTCCCCAGAACATATACATGCCCTGCCATGGTATCTCCATCACCATACATATTAAAGTTTTTGAACTGTTTTAATCTTCACTCACAGGTCATCCCCTATAAAACTGTGACTAGTATTTTAGCTTTTTTGATGATGCCATTTCTAATGCTTATACATCTTTTTTCAAGCTGAGTGTTTAGAATGGAAGATGTACCTCTACTTTGATTTGGCTTATGAACTGCAAAGGTCTAACCTACCTTATGGAGAATGAAAATGTACATACAAATAGTTATGTTGACATTATACGTCAACTTGCATTATGAGGAAATTTGAGTTCAAGAGTAAAGATGTCTTTTTCAATTTACAGAGCCTTGGTGAGACTCTATTGAGTACTGTGCACTGTTTTGATCTCCTTGTCGATGGAAAGATATACTTGCCATTGAGGAAGTGCAACGAGTCACCACACCATCTCTGGGGTGGTTGGATTGTCTTATGAGCGATGGAGGATACTGGCCCTTTGAAACATACAAAATTATGCAAGTGGATTTAGATAGGGCATTTCCCCTAGTTGGTGAGTCTAGAACCAGGGGACATAGTCTCAGTATAAGTTGTAGGCCATTTCAGATTGGAATGCGGAGGAATTCCTTCACACAAAGGTTGCTGAAACTTTCAAATTCTTTATCCCAGAGATACATAGAATTCTGAATACGAATAACAAAAGGATACGGGGATAGCACATTGGAGAGAGTTCAGAAAAGATTTACCAGGATGTTGCCTGGACTGGAGGGTTTAAGTTATAAGAGTAGGCTGGGACATTTTTCAGTGGGGTATAGGAAGTTGAGGGGTGACCTTACAGAAGTTTATAAAATTGTGTGGGGCACAGATAAGGTGAATAGCAAAGGTTTTTTCCCTTGGGTAGGGGAGTTCAAAACGAGGGGCATATTTTTAAGGCAAGAGGAGAAAGATTTAAAAAGGGACCCGAGATGCAACTTTTTAATACAGAAGGTGGTGCCAGAGGAAGGGGTAGATATAGCTACAGTTACAACATTCAAAAGAAATTCGGATATGTACATGAATAGGAAAGGTTTGGAAGGATATGAGCCAAATGCAGACAAGTGGGATTAATTTAGTTTGGGAAACCTGGTCAGCTTGGATAAGTTAGACTGAAGGGTCTGTTTCAATGGTGCAAGACTCTATGACTCTAAATTACACAAAGATAGCTGATCAGCCATGATTGTAATTGGATGACAGAGCAGGTCCAGTGAACTGAATGACTTTGTCCTGCTCCTATGATTCTACTCTTACCTTTACTTTCTAGATGGAATTAGACAAGCTGACATTTCAGTCTTTAAATTTTTTTTATCTATAAAAATATCCAAAAAACAGCTTTGAGAATATCCCTTGTTTAAAGATGCATTAGCATCTGAAGATTCACCTGCTGAACTCCCTCGGTGTGAGATGACAGCAGACTATCACTCATCCATTATCTTAAATGGGAGTTAAATCCTAAATTGCGAATAAAATTAAGGCAAGTATCACACGCGTGAATCATTTTCTAAGTCTGAAGCAAACAGTTAGGCTTATCCTTTAACTGTTAGAACAACAAATTTTGAAGGAAGGAAAGAAGTGAAATGTAAAGTCAGTGGATAACATAACTGCAGTGTAGCTGTCATATCTGTGGCGGGCTCAAGGCTTTAATGTGTATTAGTGTAATGAGATTGAAATTATTGGGAATATCAAAAATACAAATTTAGTGTATTTTACTGTATTTTATGTATTCTCCCTTAGCCAGTTATTCAGGAAAATTATCCATTTAAGGTTGAAATTTCAATTAATCAAAGCAAGCTTTACAAGGCATCTGGTCATTGTGCCACAGCGATAGTGTTTCTTCATATGTATATAATTAATCACATAATAAATCACTGCAGGGATAGTAGATGTCCTGCTTTCGTCCACTTACACAAACTGAAATCCTGAAAATTGAAACCCAAAAATGTACCATTTTAAAAAAATTAAATTGGTACTCTCAGTATAGGTAAAATAACTCATTACACAAAATTCCCTTATGAGCAAAGAAATTATTCAAAATGAAATATGAAAGAACAATATAGATCCTAGCCAGTGAAAAAGATGCAAAGTAAATTGACTTGTGGCAAAATGCCACAAAATGTCAACATAAAAAGCAACTTGCAAGGGATATCATTATTTTCCATCATTATTTAGCAAAAAGGTGATCAGAAGCAATCTGGGCCACTTGAAAACTAGTAATGGTAATAATGCCAAGGAAAATAAGGTATAACACTAGACAAGACTGAATATTTATTTTGCACAAGTCAGCTTGCCGGACATCACAAGGAGATGAATGTGGAATCTAGGACAGGGATTCTCCATAATTAATGTCAACAAAATAGTACTAATGAAGAAAATAATGACATTAAACAGCTTGAAATTCCTTGGACCAGATGATTTCTCAGTAAGGAATTTGAAACAATAAGTGAGAACACTAAAGATGCCCTAACTATAATCTTCCAAAGTTCTCTCAATTCAGGAAACTTGCCCAAAAGTTGTGCTGGTCACTCCACTATGAAGAAGATGACATTGAAAACTAAACATTATAGGTCCTGCCAGCCTAACTTTTATTGCTGGGAAGTCACTGGAGTCTATAATTAAAAATAGGGTCATTGAGCTTCTTGAAATTTTTCAGCTAAAAAGAGAAAGCAGGCAAGGATTTGTAAAGGCAGATCATGCCTGATGAATCTGATTTAATTTTTTTAAGGGGATAATTGAACCAGTGTACAGGTAGATATGTATGAGTATTAGTTGTGTGGATTTCCACGAAGCATCCAATCAAGTTCATAATAAAAGTAAGAAATGAAGATGAGTTTACAGTCTATCTGTTTCAACTCAACAAAATAGATGTCAGAGATTCTCCCTCCTCAGTATCCAAGAGCCCAACACATCTTCCAGGTGAAGCAGTGCTTTACCTGCACTTCACACAATCTAGTCTACTATATTTGCTACTCACAATAAGGTCTCAAAATGGGAAATGAAGCTTAGACTGGATTACCACTTCACAGAACATTTATGTTTTGTCCACAAAAAAAGACCCTGAGTTTTCAGTTGCATGCCACTTCAACTCACTATCCTATTCCCTGGCTAATATCTCTGTTTCAGGCTTGCTGCGGTGCTCCAGCAAAGCTCAGTGCAAGCTGGAAGAACAGCACCACATCTTCCACTTGGGGACCCCACAGTCTTCTGGACTCAATACTGAGTTCAATAAGTTTAGGGCTTGAGCTCTCCCATGCCCTTACCCCAACTCCCACACACTAAGCCTTGTTATCACACAGTCTGCTGTTAAACACAGCCCATTGTTAGCCACTAACAGTCCCCATTAATAGCTACTCACCCTCCTAGCCAGATCGTTATCCACTCCTTTATCTGTTCAGATGTTCTTTTCTCTCTTTGGGCTCTATCCCACCTATTGTTTACTCCTTACCCCTCCCCCTGCCACTCCATCCTATCTTCTGCATATAAACCGACATTTTCCCAGCTACCATCAGTTCTGAGGAAGGGTCTCTTAACCTGAAATGTTAACTCTGATTCTCTCCTCAGATGCTGCCAGATCTGATGGGCTTTTCCAGCAATTTTTGTTTTTGTTCCTGAACGAACCTTGAATTGATTATTTCTAAAAAAAAATTCATACAAATTTAGTTTAGATCAATATGAATTGTAATATTTAGATTTTATACAACTTTTCACCAAGTGGCCTTTCGGGACTAGAAACTGCAATCAACATTACACTAAATTTAAATGTTAAAATGCGAGAACATATTGTTCAAAAAGGTGTAGACTGATACCACTGGTACTTGAGCCTGTTGTACCAGGTAATAAGATCTCGATTAGTAAACAAAATAAAGGGTGAAGTAAAATAATTCAAACAAAACATTAAAAATATTGAAATACAATTAAATTTCACTAAAAATACAGTTTTCTACTTTAAAAACTACTATCTGTTAGCTGCTGGTTGATTGTGATAAAAAAAAAGCAATTTGTCTGCAGGTGTTTACCAAAATTGATCTGAGATCATCATGGACAAAAAAGCTAAGAAATCTGCTATGAAACAGATTTATGGCATATACTTAGTTTTAAGTAAATAAAACATACACATTACTGTTACTGAACTTGTGTCCTTTGAATTATTAGCAATACGTCCATCCAATGAGGTGAGCAACAATCCCCTCCATTTACTGCTCAAATGGCAGTTAGATAATGTGCAAGGAACACGTCAGCGATGAGCGAAGTCATTTAATCACTGCAAAGTAATTATCTGAATGCCACTTACGAAGATCAAACTTTTCTTGGTGCACTCCTTACATATAAAACAACACCTCTTCCATCACTACAATGAATTTGCTCATTCACCAAATTCCCATGTTTGCAAAGTCTTGAGCTGCATTCAGTGACAAGATGCTCTTTCATATTTGTTAATTTCCATTGGCTAAAGAACCAATAATGACAGCGTAGTTTGAAGGTGACACGAAGGAAAAAAAATCTATGCAACTAGATTTGGGATGCACTGTTTGTCAGAACACAGTTTTAAGAATAGAACACAAAAGTGAATTGAACAAACATTTGAAACAGAAAGATGTGCAGAGATAAAACAAAAATGGGGTATGGGACAAACTGGATTGCTCTTAAAAATTTACTGCGTCACATGGATTCCATTACATTGCATCACGGTCAGAGTTACACCACTTTAAATGACTTTCTGCAACCTGAGACGAGGAATAATGTCATCAACAATACTATCAAATCGGC